TATTTTTCTTATAATTCTCCAATTACTTGTACTCCGTGAAATCTTATTTTATATTGTGAAACACGAGTGTCATTAGGGTGACGTCACGTGGCCGTGAACGGCTGGTAATAATCATGGCGACGTTAACGTTGCTCACGAGGCTTGTGACATTTCGTTCCGCTCACGCCAAATTGCTCGAGTTACCATGGTCGACATGTAACACTTTTCCTTATGGAAGGATTGCAATGGCTTGCATGTGCTGTGAGTTTCAGGATTCTGTGATTTGTAGATGAGAACACGGTTTAGTTTATTAACGTTATGTAAAATCTATCTATTTGTATATTGATAACCGGTAGTTATATTAGGTTAAAAATAATTGAGTTGAATTAATATGATTCTGTGATTTGTTTGAAGATTCTATTAATTGACGTACGATTTGGTCGATAGTTTTATTTTTAGACAGTTTCATCACAATATAGTTGTATATTTATGATAACAAAAGTATTACATAACCTCATTCTTATAATTACTTTTATATATTTAAAAGTTTAAAATTAAATATTGTTGTATTTGTTTGTTATAGCTGATCAAAAATTCATGTATGATCTGATTGTTATTGGGGGTGGATCAGGTGGTTTGGCAGCAGCTAAAGAAGCAGTAAATTTTGGTGCAAAAGTTGCGGTTTTAGATTTTGTCACACCTTCTCCACGAGGTAGCACTTGGGGTTTAGGTGGTACTTGTGTAAATGTTGGTTGTATACCAAAAAAATTGATGCATCAAGCAGCTTTGTTAGGAGAATCAATTCATGTAAGTCTTTTATTAATAGATTAATTATTTTTTATAATTCAATAATATTTTAAATATTGAATTTTCATATTTCTAGGATTCAGTATCTTATGGTTGGCAATTACCAGATCCAAAAACTATTAAAAATGATTGGCAAGCATTAAGAACAGCAGTACAAAATCATGTAAAATCTGTAAATTGGGTTACACGAGTAGAGCTCAGAACAAAGTTAGCATTACTTTATTTTTATTTTTTAAATATAAAATTTGCATTTACTCATTCTTTTTATTATTACAGAAAAATCGAATATTTTAATGCACTTGGTTATTTTAAAGATCAACATACAATATTAGGAAAACTGAAAAATGGAGAAGAAAAAGAGTTTACAGCTCAAAATATTCTGATTGCTGTAGGTGGTAGACCTAGGTATCCTGATATTCCTGGTGCTTTAGAATATGGTATTACCAGTGATGATATCTTTAGTTTAGAAAAAGCTCCAGGAAAGACACTTATTGTTGGTGCTGGATGTATCCTTTTTGTATAAAAAATATTAATAATTCTAATTTTTATTTTTCTATTTATACTATTGTATATAATTTTTTGTAAAATTTTAAATATAATATGAAATATATATACAAATTTTAATCAATTTCATAAACATTTCAATTTTTATAAAAAAAAATTTTTCTTTAATAAATAAATAGATATTGGTTTAGAATGTGCAGGATTTTTAAATGGCTTAGGTTATGATGCAACTGTAATGGTACGTTCAATCGTGTTACGAGGATTTGATCAACAAATGGCAAATACTGTTGCTCAGGAAATGGAAAGACGTGGTATACACTTTATTTATGAAGCTAAACCATCAAAAATTGAAAAGCAAACTGATGGCCGACTTCTTGTTCATTGGGTGGATAAAGTATGTGTTGATAACATATCTTATAATTTAAAAAAAAAAATAAGAATTAATATTTAAATTATTTTCATATAACAATCTTTATTTTAGGATAGACAAACACATCAGGATACTTTCGATACTGTTCTTTTTGCTATTGGTCGCAAACCACTCACAGAAGAATTAAAACCTGAAAATATTGGTCTTAAACTTGTTCCTGAAACTTCAAAAATAGATGCAATAGATGAACAAACAAATGTCCCAAATGTATATGCTGTTGGTGATGTACTTCATGTGAGTTTTAAATTTTCAATTTTTTCAACAATAGATTTTTTTCTCTACTTTATTACAATTTATATTTAATTTTATATATTATTTAATATATAAAATTTTATTTAACTTTATATTATTATTAAAATATATATAATAATTATCATTGTAAAGAATATTATATAAATTACTAAAATAAAATTATAAATTATTTATAATTCGTAATTATTTGTAATTCTTCTTATGCTATTATAGAAAAAACCAGAATTAACTCCTGTTGCTATACATGCTGGTCGATTATTGGCAAGACGATTATTTGGAAATTCAACAGAACAAATGGATTATGTGAATGTAGCAACAACAATATTTAGTCCTTTAGAATATGGTTGTGTTGGCCTTAGCGAAGAAGCAGCAATTGCTATTCATGGAAATGATAAAATAGAAATTTATCATGCATATTATAAACCAACGGAATTTTTCATACCACAAAAAGATGTTTCTAATTGCTATTTAAAAGTTATTGCTTTTAGAAATGGTGATCAAAGAATACTTGGTATGCATTTTATTGGTCCTAACGCTGGTGAAGTAATTCAAGGTTTTGCTGCTGCTATTAAGTATGTATTTAATTTTTTTTGTTGTATTAATTACTTGGTGTTTTATTTTTTCATTAATTTTTTTTATTTTTTCAGGTGTAATTTAACATTCCCAAAACTAAAAGATACAGTAGGAATTCATCCAACAGTAGCAGAAGAGTTTACACGTATATCTGTAACTAAACGTTCTGGGCTTGATCCTAAGCCACAAAGTTGTTGCAGTTAAAATATATATAATATTAGACTTGTTGCTAACATTTGTGAATATTTTTGAATATGATGGATGACGAATGTGCTTATTGCATTGATCGTTCGATCTAGAAATAATTTTCTAATCGAAGATTCTTTTAACTGAAGATACTTTTTATTAAATGCAAGTTGGAGAGAATTCTTCGAATATTACAATATTTTCAATATGAAATTAGAAAGCAGTGTAGAACACATTGCGCTGTATGAAAAATTTGCTTCCTTTGGAGCACTAATAATTAATAAGAATATAACCTACATTGTTTTATAATACTTACAATAATTTTTATAAACATAATTTTTTTCAAATACATCAATATATTCTCATATGTACATTCGAAAAAAAATAAATAAAAATCAAAATATTTATATGTTATTAATTTATTCAATAACATTAAAAATAATATTACACATTTAAATAAAAAATTAAATAATAAATTATTGACAATAAAATTTAAAGCTAAAAATGCATCATATTATTTTCAATTTTAATAAATATATTATCATATCTATAAAATTTTTAATTTTAAATATTTTAAATATTTTTACATGTTATTTATAATAATAGCAATAAATACATGATTAATTATTATTAAAAATATAAAAACTCTTAATGTTAATATTCTCCAATTATTTCAATTTTGGTTTTCAGTACTATTATTTTTATAATTATTATTTATTATTATTTTTACATTTATATATGATAATATGTGAAAATAGAAAATTTATGTGTATTAAAAAATATATAAATATATATTTCTTTTTTTTCAATTTTTTAAACTTATTATATGACGTTTCTTACGTTGTTGATTTTCTTTTTTCCTTAATATATCAGGAAGGCCACATCGTGGAGATGCCATTAGCTACAACATAATTTTCTTCAAATGAAAATTTCTAAAGGAAATATGTCGCAGTTCTACAATCGAATAAATATTTTAATTACTTATTTTAATTGTATTTTAATTGTTTAATTGTTATTTTTAATATTAATTAATTGAAGTGTTTTTTTTTTTTTTTATATATAGAGAACTGTCGAGAATCCAAAAATCGTCCATGAATATTAATAATTTGCATATAAGGATATCAAATATAATAAAATTCAAAAAATAAATTTTAAATGCACCTCAAGTGTTGTATTATCCAATTGACCAGTAATTGGAATATTTCCAAATTTTTGCAAAGTTTTCACTGCATTTGTTATAGCAGTTTTTTGATATAATGCATCCGAATTAGCGATTCCACTTTCCAAATATCCATATTTTTTCATAAAATCTATCTACAAAATTATTTATAAATTTTTGTAAATAAAGGATACATGATATTTTACTGAATAAATTTAAAGAAGAGATTTTAAGTAGATTTCAAATAGTAATTAATCATTAAATTCAAAAAAAAAAAATAAATAAACAATTGTTTTGATCTTTCTATCAAATGAAATAATCTTTAATAAACTTGTATTTTTTTTTTTCACTTACCGCAGACAAAGATAACGAAATGTTTTTAACTACTGAATCAACAGGTATTAATTCACATTTTTTCAGAAGAAAAAAAATATAGAAGAAAATATAAAATAACTCCATGAATGTAATATTTCTTTTTTCACGAATTATTTATTTCATTGAGCAATAATATTAAGCAATAAAGAAATATATATTTTTAAAACTTCACTAACATTTTCAATGTTTTAATGCTTTAAAAGCTTCTTTTATTAATCAAGAATTAAACCGGTTTAACGACTTTTTCACATACCAGAGACTTCAGCAGATTGATAACGAAATTGATAACGTTGCTTGACCTTTGCTTGTAATTATGAAAATTTATAAAAACACAATTATTCAACGAATAATTATTTTTGTTTTAATCATATAAAAATAAATGATAGATAAAATAATAGAAATCATTATTTTTTTTTTTTTGTATATTTAGAATGAATTTTTTTAGTGAATAATGTAAATTAATTAATCAAATTTTTTATGATCATAGAATCGTACAAAATGAAATATATAACACATGTATATGTTGGAAGTGTAAACAATATAATCATAGGAAGGATTATTATCTTAAAAAGAATTAAATTATTTCTAATATTTCCAATTAAAAAGTAAAAAACAATTTCCACTTGAATCACCCTATAATGTAAGACGTAATTATGTAATCATTTGCTAATTTCATATCATACGAATTGAAATGTTTTAATATATAAATCAATCAAAATGAATTTGACTAGTTCGGAATTTTCGACGATAAAAGGAGAATATTCGGAATATTCTACAGAAGATGAAAAAAGTGAATATGATGATGATAAAATAAAATATTCGGAAGAAAATAAAAAATCCATCAAAGAATCCAATCTTTGTCCATTTGTAAGTAATATAATTGTCTCCAAATTATATAAAAAAAAAAAAAAAAATTAAATTAATATATTTTGAGATAATTTTAATTATATACTTATTTTCAGGAATTATTATGGAGTTTCGGATTAAATTCAGACGTACCTCTAATAAATTTAACCACGAAAAATCGTACACTTATCGCTTATTCCTGTTCGCATATCGTAATAATCTACAACTATGAGACTAAAGAAGCGTTAAATCTTCAAGGTCATGTAAGAATTTATTTTTTTTTTTTTTTTTTTACTATATTTACATTATTTTTTTTTTTTTTTTTTACTATATTTACATTATCTTTTTTTTTTTGTCTGTAAATAAGTAAAGTGATATAAAGTAAAATATAAAATTTTACAGAAAAATACGGTGAGAACATTATCGACATCGATGGATGGAAAATGGTTACTGTCTGCAGATTTTGAGGAGGATTGCGTGGTTGTTGTTTGGGACACTGAAACTGGGTATAAAGTTTGAAATTAATGTAAAAAAGATTGTAAATTATAAGATAAAGGAATTTGATATCATGAAACTATTTAGAATATAATATAATTCAACGAGATTATTAATGTTAATAAAAATATATAAAATATTCATTGTAATAATGCCAGGATTCTTTAAAGTTATGACAATAGCGACTTGATTCCCTTCACAATCTACATTTTTTGTTTAAAATATTTAACAAAAAATATTAAATATAAAAAAAAAAACTAAAGATATTCTTTTCTAGTGTGCCAATCTCTACTCTATTCAATCCACACGGTGATCAAAAAATGACAGCGGTTAAAATTAGTCCAAACGCTAAATACATAGTAACTGTTGGAGATGAATTTCACCAAAAGGTTCATTTTTGGCTATGGACATACGGAAAAGATAAACCTGATAGTTAATTATACTTACTGCATTCTAATTAAATTTTATTTAAAATTTTATAATTATTGAATATTATTATTTAATTCCGTTTAAAATTTCATATAATTATTACAAAGTATATATAATCTAAAATCTATATATAAGATCAAAATCATATCTCAAAAATGTGGAAACATCCGTCATAACTGGTGATGGATGAATCTCCAGTCAATGAATATTTTCATATTTTTGGGACACTAATAATTTTAGATAACTATAGTTATCTAAAATTTGTTTTTTAGAGTCTGTAGAGATAACTGAATTTGATACAAATAGAATAAAAGAAATAGCATTCAATGACGATTGTTCGGAAGAATTTGTTTTAATTGCCGATTATAATGTTATATTTTTTAAATGGGTTAGTACAATTTCATCGCAAAACCATTCTTTTATATCTCTTATTAATCATTAATCATATTCGAATAAAATATAAAATATTTTTAACAAAAAAAAAAAATATATAATTTTGAGACTTAATGAAGATTTTCAAATTTTCTTAATAATTTTTTCGTGCGAATAAACAATAATCTTTATGAATTTTTAGGAACAAGAGGAATTGAAATTTTACATACCACAAATTTTGAGCAAGGTACGACGATACGGGATCTTCAATTGCTCTTGTTTTATACCTAAAACACTACGAGTATTAACAGCTACAACATATGGTAAAAAAAGAAAAAAGAAAAAAAAACGAATAAAATAATATTGCATTAATAATAAAAATTACGATAATCAAAATTTCTGATGATCAATTTTATCGATATTTATAGGATATATCGTTGTTTGGGATATTTCTACTTACAAAGACAAAACTAAGAGTAGTATTGGGATTAAAAACAAGGAAAGAAAATACATCAAAAGTGTCAAGTTAGAGAAAAGTAGTATTCTGGTGATATTGCATAAAAATGGGTATATATATTTAATATTTTTTCAACAACATAACATATAATTTCAATATTATAATATTGATATTGCACAAAGTAAACAATAATTTAATTTTAAGGTAAACAATAATGATAATTATCGTAGGAAGATAGTGACAGGATCCTTAAATGGACGCATCAGTTTCTATGATCAAGATTTAAGAATCCTCTATTGGTGTGAACATGAACTTTTGGATAGTATACGATCGATAAGTTTCGATTTTTCATCTTCATTATTGGCTCCTGTAAATGAAACTGATTGTAAGCTTATTTATTTTTATTCTAAAAAAATGTTTTAGAAAAAGATTTTAAATTTAAATAAATAAGGGATGAATTCGATAAGTAGACTCTTTGAATAATTCTTTAGCACGATGATTATCTAATAGTAATGATTGTAGATTTTTCATATAATTATTATCAATTGTTTATGAAAAATTTAAAAAAAAATCGTTTAATTTTTAACAACCACAAAATCTCATAATTTTATTAAAGATATAAAACAATAAAGAAAAAATTGAAAATGGTGTGAAAAATAAAAAAAAATTAATATAATAATATAAATAATATGAAAAAATAAAATAAGAGTGGAAGAATTTTATTTTGTAGTTGAATTCGATGATGAAGAGTCCGAAGAAAAAGAAGAAATGGGAGATTTTTATTCGGAAATCACATTAAATGTCCCTACTTGCAATAAGAAAAAAAAAGAATTAACAGAAAATTTAAAATCGAAATATTGTGAAATTATCGATAAAATTCCATCGACATTGACTATGAACTTGGAAATATTACCCAAGAAATATTATGATAAACCTCCAAAAAAACGTATGGTACCTACCGAAGCCACTGTACGAGGTGCTCCTTTCTATTTCAATAATTTCTTTATCAGTAAGTGTTATTCATCACGTTTATTGATCATTCAATAAATTAATATTAATATAATAATATAGATTGATTATATTTTTTTTATTATATTTTATTGAAGATTTTTATTAATGTTTTTTTTAAAAGGTTGTTTGAGTGGAACAGTTGCATTAATAAAAATTCCAACATTCAAGTGCCGATTTATTTTTCGATATACAAAAGTTGCGATCTTAAGCTTTGACGCACATCCTCGAAGGTATTTATAAGAAATTTATATAATTCAACGATTCTTCTAATTTTTTTTCTATTTTTATTTTAATTCACAAAACAAAGAGAGAGAATAATAATTTTTAATATTTTAAATTTCAATTTCAATAAATTAAAAATTAAAATTTTTTTTCTATTATCAATATCATTGTTTCATTAAAAAGATTATAATATATTATATAAAAAAAATAAAGTGATTAAATTTGTTCTTCGTAGATTATAGTTTTTAATCTTCAATAATATTAACATTAACATTGTTTTTTCACAAGTAATTATATAGTGACTGGTGATGCAAATGGTTACATCTGCTTATACGATTATGAGAAACGTAAGATCATACTACGGAAAAAAACTCCACCTTTTCCAGATTTTCGTCCAGTGATGGATGAACAAGTAAAAAGTGGACACATAATTTACATCACGTGTCCATTGAGCCACGAAGGACTGATTGGTGTTACAGCATTAAAATATTCCCAAATAGGTATCCAATTATTATTGTAATACAAATTTTAATATTTTATTTTTTTTTTCTGGATAAACTATTATAATGGATCAATGAAATTATACCAATTATTATTTTTCAGTTTCGAGATTTTAATGTAAGATGTCGCTAGTATCTCATTCTCATATAATAAACGAGAAATTTGTAATGAAATATACATAAAATACTTCAATTTAAATGATATATAATCACATTTGATCTTGAAAATATGAATAAAAATATAAATTTTTATGTTTTATTTTCTTTTTTCTAAGTAAATTATTGTAATGGATGAATGAAATTATATGTAAATAGATTAATTATCATTTTCGAGTTTAGAGAATTTTTAATCGCAAAAATAGCAAAATAAAAGGTTTCGAAACTTTTTAAATTTCGAGCGAAGTGTCCTATTTTCGTGCAACAAATAAGAGATTTATAACAAAATATATAATCGAAATATTTCGATTTTAGGTGACATACTCGCGTGTGGTCTTGAAAATGGATCGCTTTGGATGCTGCATCCTATCACTTTGGAACCCATTGATAAAAATCCTTACAAACATTCCATGCAGTCAATTCACAAATTGGCTTTCTCAGACTGTGGAGAATATCTGGCTTATGCAGTAAATAAACATATGATAATTGATTATTTATTCATAATAATTATATTTATCATATAAAATCCTCAAAGTATAATTGTTATAATTTTTTAAATTTTATTATATTTATATATAATAATATATAATTAATAATATATAATTAACAATTATATATATAATAAATTTTATTATATAATTTATATATTTTATTTATTATAATTTCTAAAATGAAAATGAATAAACATTTTTTTTAGGATAACACATTGGTTGTAGCAGTATTTAAGAAGAATCATAAAAGAAGCAACGACGATGATAATATATGGAACTTTATTGGAAAATATCGTTCGCACAACGCAGATATAAAAGACATACTTTTCGGTCCAGCTACCATCGAAAGTATTGTATATCGATTATTTTCAATAGCAGAAGACAAAACTTTAATTGAATACAATCTTAAAAATAGGTAATTTAATAAAATATTATATTTCTTTTGTAATTAAATCCTAAATATTTCGTCCATTTTGTAGCGGTCCATATCCTCTTCCGGGCTTAAAAATACTTCATGTTTATAAAATCGAAAATGATGCTATACCTTTTTGTCTCGAATGGTATCCACAATTTGGCATTGAAGGATTGCTGACGTATTCTACTTCCGAAGTAATATAATTTTCTATAATCAATTCTAAAACTTTAATAATCGAAATATTTAAAATATTTTAAAAAATTAATTTTTTTTTTTTAATTAATTATCTTTCAATCATGTTCTAATGGATAATTTCTGAGAAACAGCAATTTAATTTGTAATTTATTTTTGCCTTAATCAAATCATTTCCAAATAAATATTTCATTATTATTAAAATTAAAATAAATAAAAAAATAAATAATTGTTATATTTCATACAAAATTTATTATGTGATATAGTATAAATTTAGATTGCTAAACGATATGACGAAATTGATTCGAGGAACGTTTTTGGGACCCCTTTATAGTTCACCAGTTAAACACATTAAGGTGATGAATTATGTGAATCTGCAGAAAATTATGAAATTATGTTTAACTTAAAAATATTTTTTACAGGTATTATCTAGCAAAGATCTCAAAATTCTTAGATACATGGTATTTGCAACTGATAAAGAAATAGGTCTTCAGATACTTCCCTTTGATGGAAATCCTTACAAAATTCTAGGAATGATTGGACATCCGCATAAGGTATATAAGAAAAACATTGTATCGAAAAAATGATTATAATGACATTTCAACAAATGAAGTAATTTTATCAACGATGAATTTCTAAACTTTATTACACAGTATACTTATATTATTTTATTATAAAATTAGATTAAATTTAAAAATTGCCATCCATAGAAGTCTAATTTTAATAGATCACACATATATGCGTTAATAATGATGGAAACCTTTTGTTCACTTCTGGTTACAATGATCCATCTATATTAATATGGAAGATAAAATACAAGTAAGCCTTAATGAATAATGAAAATTCTACTTATTATTAAATATTTTTTTCCTTATTAATTTCAATTATTCTTGTTCAAAAAATAATATAAAAATAAATTTGCTTTTCTTTGTCTTCACTCATCAATTGATTTCATTATTATATCATTTGTAATTATCATTTTAATATTTTATACGTTCTTCTTATATGTACTTGCAAAAATATTTCATTTACTTTTTTCTTCAATAGATATCTTTATTTTATCCCTTTTAACAATACTTTGTCTCAAGGTCTGTTGATGTGTTATCACATCTAGGAGGCAAAGGTCTCTCACCGTATTACTGTTTGATAGAAGGTGGTAAAAGTGGTTGGCTTATTAAAGAGATGCAAGATCTGTTTTATTACTCTCAAATTTTGCATCAAGGGGAGAATATAACAAGTACCAGAATAATATCCGACAAGGTGAACATCACCGAATTGCCAAATCTTATGCGTTCTATTGGATATTATCCAAGTAACGAGGAGGTAATAATTTTTCATTCTTTTCTTTCACATCCAATCTTAAAAAAAATTAAAAAAATTCTATAATCTTTTCGTTCTGATTATTATTCTTTTAACATTTATCAATTGATTTCTTTCAGATAGAAAATTTTATGGGGGAGATCGCGTATAGAGATTACGCTGAGACCGGCAATTTAATCGACACTATTAATTTTGAAGATTTTGTGAAGCTTTATATAAATCACCGTCCATCTTTTGGAATTTCTAAGCATAACATATTAGAAGCTTTCAAAATATTTTCAAATCAATTGCACGATGAAAATCCATTCTTAACTCGTGATCAATTTATGAGGTTGTTGCTTGGTCATGCTCCTTATACCATTATAAAAAAACATCAGATGCCTTTTGGTTAGTTTATATATTTTTTTCTAGAAAACATTCAATGTAACATTCAATATATTATTTCATATGTTCTCTTTTATTATTTCAATTTTTTTTAAAATATATATATATATGTATTTTTTTATTTTTAGGAGAACCATTAACAATTCAAGAAGCATTTACATATATGAAGTTTCTTATTGGATTTGATGAAGGAACTTTTGATGAAATAAATTATAAACACGAAGCATCACAGGATCTTGATCTTACGTTCTTGCCAGAGGTATATTTATCAGAGATTTTTTTAATATATAGTTATTATTTGATTATAATATAAATCATATTTTATTTATTTAAATGGACTAAAAAAATCATAAATGTATATTTTATTACCGATATTTATTTTTTTTTAATATACATTACAACTTAAAAAAAGAAAGAGATAGTCTTCTTATATAAAAAGATGATTTTTAATAATTTTTTTTTTTTTTTTAAAATGAACAAATATACAAAAGCCAAATTGATCATACATAAGCGCATTATGAAATAAGTAAGTATTTACATCTATCTAGAATAGAAAATAAAATTAAAAAATTGATAATATGAAAAAATATATTAAATTATGAATTATACATTTATTTATATTTATTTTGTGAATTGACTCTATCATTAATAACTTTTAAATACAAAATCCGATCAACGTTTAACAATCAGATCAACAAAAAAATTCCTAAATATTTAAATTTTAAATTTGTTTTCAAATAAATATCCTAAATAGAATGACACATGAAAATATTAAACAAGTATGATCATCAGTCATACTATATACAGTTTTACAATAGAAGCTCATACAACGAGGGAGATAGATAAATCTTGAATAAATTGCCATTAATGGTACAGAAAAAAGGAAAATAATGATTTAGGCTCGCCGAAAGTAATGTATTATTATTTTACAATACAGATAATATCTTACAAATATTTCATCACGGACATCTTGGGTATTGAATTTCCGGAGGAAACGAGGGCTGACGATGATTAATTAATCTGTATTTTGCATTGCTGGCACATTAACATTAATTATCATTACCATACTAATATTATTATCATTATAATGTAATGCGAGTTCTATTAAACATGTACGAACACTAACGTATTTATCCATGTTTCTTAAAATGTTGAATGAAAAAAAAAAAAAAAAAATATTAACGTTTCCAGCGACAGAATTAACTCGATTTTACGAAACTTTGTCCAATATGGTGAATTAAAATTGTAAAAAAATAATTCTTGATTGACCATTCATTTTTCTTATTTCATTCTTGTTTCAAAGATTCAATTTCGCGTGTAGAATAAAAATAATTTTGATATAATTAATTAATAAATATGATAGTCGAAACGTAAGTTATCAAAATTAATCGGTAAATTTTATCTTTACAAATGAAATTTCTTTTCGCTCGTATTCCATTGCACATTTATATTTCACCGGAATCTCGATAAATTAAAATATTATATCGAAATTGAAAAAAAAAGATTAGCGCTCAATATACATTATATCGTTAATCGATCTCGATAAAGTGCTACAAGTTGTACAATTATTTCATATATAAATGTTTGAAAGTGATATTACGACGAATAAGTAAGTAAGAACTAGACTAGAGAAACGATAAAATATCAACCGATTCATTGTAACTAAAATGTGAAACATATATATATATATAACGAAAAAACGATAGAAATTGGAAAATTTATTTTTCCACTGGTGATCATAAAAAAATTAGAAATTAGAATAAATGAATACGTTTTATAACGGATATGTAGTTATAAAAATTTTAGAAAATTCAGGCGATTTAAGAAAAAGAAAAATAAAGGGTAAAACAAAGAAAGAGAACAAAGATGGTGATTTAAATGAGACAATGCAAAAAAATCGCGAAATACACGTACATATTTCGAGATGATTATGAACAGAATAGTGGGTCGTCGAAAAAAAAAAAAAAGAAGTGATCGTCTTACAAGAGGCATAGACACCGCCAGCAGTGCCGACAGTCCTATTAGCCGCGACATCACGAAAATGAATTTCGAAAATGATGAAACACAGCCCTCCCCTCACATACTAGGCTTAAAGAATTCTACGACGTAGCCTAGAAAATTTCGCTCTATAATGCTATACTTTGCCTATCGGCTACACTAAATTTATACACCGCGCATGTTTTGTCATTTAAAAGAAGTACAAACAAATGTACACAAAAAACCTTACTTCATTGTTATAAATTCTAAGGCATATTTACAGTTATATACAAACATTTTTTTTGTAATTATTATTATTATTATTATTATTATTATTATTATTATTATTGTTGTTGTTGTTGTTGTTGTTG